TAGGTCCGTGATTCGCCTCGTGTATCGTTGCTTGCAACCCCAACACTGCTGATTCGATCAGCGATTCCGAGGCACCTTGCGTCAGTGGCTTTCTTCGCCACTATATCTTGTTCGGCTAGAGCTGCCGCAGCTCTAGCCCGGCTGTTCCCATACAGCCTGCAGTCGATGTACATCGACGCCTGGTTTCGTAAGGAGCTTGGTCTTACCTCAAGACCAGGAAGGAAAGGTATTTCCGAGCCTCTCCCCCACTTACACTTGAGTCCATTGAGTCTCTCGTGGCTTGTGATCGTCACTGGCAGCACGACGGCTACCTGCCTCGTGGAAAGTCAGGGAGGAAAGGTATTTCCAAGCCTCTCCCCCACTTAACCTCGAGACTACTGAGTCTCTCGTGACTTCTGATAGGTGCTACGGCTCTCCGCCCTGTGAACTGCGTCGGTATGGACGACCGCGTCGGCCGTGTCGACCGAAGGCACCCAGCCTTCGCGTCAGCAGTTTGAGTCTGCGCGACTTGACGTCGAGCGAGTTGATCGCGTCTGGCGAGGCCAAGACAGCCTTGGCCTCGAGCCAATGGCTCTGTGTGCGGAACTATGTTACCCGCCTTGGGTGTGGAGCTCTGTTACACACACCGGAAGCGCATATAGCGTCTTCCTTATCAGTTATGGGCTGAGTGACTTTGCGTGGAACTTTGTTACCCACGCTCGGAGCACCGAATGTCGGTCTCCTTAAGCAGCTTCGCTGCTTCCGGAATTTGTTACCCGCAGTGTGGACCTATGTTACCCACCTGGTAAATGCCCTTCGGCACCACCACTGTCGAAGCGCATACGGCGCGACGATGTTGGGATCGGCCGGTGTTGCAGACCCGCAAACACACCGAACAGAGTTGGTGTCCACCGACCGAGTCAGAGGAGTACGGGCCCTGGACTCCGAGTCGCTTGAACCGACGTCGGCCTGAAAAAGGTTCAGACCCGACTTGCGGCGGCTGACGTGACGTGGCACTTCGTTACCCACCTCGTGATGTCTCGTTGACGACATCAGAGGCACTCGAGACCTCGTGTGGCACTGTGTTACCCACACAGGAAGCATAATCAATGCCTTCCTCTTCAGTTTTAGTCTGGGCGACTGCGTGTGGCACTGCGTTAGCCACACAGGAAGCGCATTCAGCGCCTTCCTCTTCAGCTAAGGTCTGGGCGACCGTGTGGTCCTAAGCTACCCACCTGGTTAGCGCTTAAAGGCATAACCACTGTCGAAGCCCGTACGGCGCGACGACCTTCGGCGTTGGACGCTCCTGGTGTAGCAGGTCCACACGCCGGGCAAAAGACCCACGCCCGTGGCATTGCCGCGCGGAGCATGGTCTTAATGTATGCAGATCTGTCGGCGCATTGACATCTTTGTGACGCTTTTGCGTCCTGGCGGTCTGTATCAGACGCCTCATTCATGACGGAGGTGGGAACGTGACTCACCAATGCTCCGTCATAGACCAGGACTGGTAGGACCTTCTCAGCCTTGCCACACCAAAGTCCGGGCTGTGCCTTAGGTTCGGCACCGCCATGTTGATCATAGTGAGAAATGCGAGCGACACCGCGGTGCGCGAGTTCATCAAGCCGAAACGTTCAGGTCCGTTGAGGACCATTGGTACTTCCTTCACTGTACCAAAGGCTAGTCCACCAAGGACCAGCCCACGACCGCCACTCTGACATAGAGTGCAGTCGGGTGTCGCTATGCCAAGCGACGTTCCGGCGGCGTATCAACGCCCCAGAGCTTATCAAACGTTCAAGGGGTACCGTACCCCCGTACACCGAGTGTACTACCAGCAGCCCATCACTGCCATTCACCGGTTTGAGAGAACCACGTCTCTCTGGGACAAGTCCCGTGGTGTGCACAACCTGCACACCCATCACGAAGTCTTAGCGCACTTCAGTAGGGTATACCGCCTTTACCGGTGGCCGGGGAGTCTTCTTCCACCTGGCCGTGGCCTGCGCCACCGGACTTGAGGTCCACGGGCTGTCTTCTTCCCGAGGGCTGGCGAGGGACACACACGCTGGTAATGGCCATGTCCGCCGCATCCATAGCACCAAGCTCTCGGCTGAGCTTAAGTCCATGGGCTTGGGCTCGCTGTACGCACCGGTATCAACAAGCTGTGTGACAGCAGGAGCAACAGCGTCATTGCTGCGATGCTCCGCCTCCTGAGGAACGCCATTCTCATCGTGGCGATGTTCCTCTTCCCGAGATGTACCAGCCTGCTTGTGGCTGTGCTCTTCTTGGAGGGCGATTGGAATCGCCTCCTCCATAGTTGTCGCTTGCAACCGAAATAGCTGGGTGCTAGCAGGACCGACCTTCAGGCCGTCCATGAAGACTGTTGTCCTGACGTCTTCATGCAGAGAATTCCCTGCCAGAGATGCCACCAACGTGCACATCTCCTGCGCGCACTCCTGCAGCTCACGTTTACCTTGCTTACACGCGAGAAAGCGTGAGCGCTGGCGGAACGCATTGTTCGCCGGTAGGAACGCGGCTCGAAGCTGCTCACCCAGCTGAGTCCAGGATGCAAAGCATCCAGGAGATGTCGTCTCCATGGTGTATGCCCAGTGATTGGCACGTCCACCAAGGTTGAACAGGGCAAACGCCACCCAAACTGGCTCGTCCGAGATGAGACCCGCCTTCATGACGACCTCCACCTCACGGACACAGAAGTGAAGGCTCTCACCTTCCTTCCCCTCAAACGCGGGGACCGTCAGCTATACCGGCTTACGCCTGGTTGCCTAGGGAGCGGCCATCGTGGTCTCCAAGCTCCCGCGGACGTGAGCGATGAGATCACGCTTTCTTGTTGCTCGGCAGGCGTCGCCGCCGCCAAGCTGCGAAGGACATCTTGTCCAAAGATGCCTCCCATCTTCCGAACAGACTCGTACTGTGAGTCGCTCAAGCAAAGAAATTCGCTTCGGTCCATCTTAACTCAAACGTTGAGCGCACAGAGGATTCAGATAGTTCAATCTACCCGCGATGGTGTTGGATTGACTACGAGTTTTTCCAAGTGTGACGGGGTCACAAAGCACCTTGCACAGATGAAGTGTTTAAGGGTATTAACTACCCGAGTGAACGTTATTCCACGTGTTCCCGGTCTCACAGGGAACGGTTTGCTACTTAGAAGAGTAGATTTAAGACTGATGTATTTATAAGTAAGATAAGCTTGGGTCTCATACAAACTAGAGGTTACCTCAATTGGAGCTAAGTTGTCATGCACTGACTGGCTCCGAGAGCATCTGGTACCGTGTACCAGGTGTCCACAAGAGTGACTCAGTTTTTGAGCACTCTTCTGCTCACAAATTGAGCACATATGTAACATGGGGCACACTGGATTGTACCCCGTTACAGAGTTGACACACTCACCGGTACCGAGCACTAAGCTTAGTCGCCTACCAGGGTAAACAGGCACTTGGCTTTTAGAAGACATGAGGTGTCCGAAGACATCCCCAAAAAATTCCACAATAAAGAAGTCGATACAAGAAGCCTAATTGTTCTCCAGTCTCTTTTTTAATTCACACCGAGGTTCAAATACATGACCAATCAAAAACAGCTCTCACATATTCGAGCACTCGGCATTGGACACTAATGCAACTGTGAATCGAGTCCTGCTCTTCTTGGAGCTAGTGATCAGACGAGTAGTGATAGTTTTGTCGGGACATAGCTGGTAGAACAACACCCGTTTCGTCGAAAATATAGACATCTCTAGGCGCACAATGACGCACACTGTGTGGATTTGTTTTCAGAAGCTGTGGTAGTGCAGCGTCCTCTACAGATCCGCTATCACCGTGCGTTTTAAAGCCTTTGAATCCGTGACGGCTTTGAAAGTATTGCAACCAGCCATTTGAAAACTGCATCGGGGTATCTTCTTTAACGCCCATCTTCGTGAGAAGTCGGACACCTTTTGCCGTGACAATGCTTTCTTCTAGAATGACACCTCGATGCTGACATTGAAGAAACCAATTTGCTAACGCTTCATCCATTTCAGGAAACAACACTGTCCGTGACCGTCGAATAAACTTGTCTTCGTCGCGAACACGTAAATGACGATCGCTGAGAAAGTCGCTTGTCCAGGACGCTTAATAAGAGCGAATTCCCGAAGTGTCTTTTCAGCAAAATCCTTCTGTGCCAGTGACACAAACGCTTCTTTTAATGCTCGTCGTTGATTTCCTACGTATTTCTTCTTTCGTCCCATTGTTTAAAAGCGAAATGCTTTGTATAAGGCAGAGGTCGGAAAATATGAAACTGCATTGTATTGGGGGCTAAGTTTAGCCGAAATAAAAATTCGAATTTGAGCACTTCCAATAAAAACATTCCGTAATCTAAATATATTGGAGCAATATCTAGCTACTTCGAAGTACGCCTCGCTCTACCGTGTACTCTTGTATCAGCCGTGATTCCCGTGAGTACGCCGGCCCGATAGCCAGCTGGAAAAGCCACGCCAAGCTCCTCAGTGTTTAAAGTCGATATCATGTTCTGTGGTAGGTCTATTCTTGAAACCCCACCTCAGAGCATCTCCACCGGTGCGTCTCTATATCTATAGACTCGTTTCCTTCCGATTGGCCGGAATGTTTTTAGCGATAGACACCGAGAGGCATCACTCACCAATCTGTCGCTATGTGAAGAAATCGTCTTCTGCGAGAAACTCTTGACGACGAGGAAGAGGCGTACGTCTGCTCCCTACTTTTGACCCCTCGCGCACCGAAAAAAAGAAAACACGGCGGTTCACAGCCCGGCAAGGCTGCAAATGTCGACAGAGACTTCACTGCGGCTAATGAGATGCTTGTGCGGCGATACTTCGCCGAAACGCCATTCCACGGCGACAGGACATTTGCACGTCGGTATCGCATGCCAAAGCCACTATTCATGAGATTGCACAACGAGCTGATTTCGCATTATCCGTATTTTCATCAGCGCTTTGATGCAGCTGGCAAGTCAGGAACTAGTAGCTTGTTGAAAATTACTGCAGCGTTTCGGATGTTGGCTTACGCGAAGGCAGGGGATGAGATGGATGCAGTCTGCTCTATCGAATATTTTACGGCATTTGAGATATTAGATGAGTTCTGTTTTGCCGTTGTAGAACATTTTGGACCAACGTACCTGCGAATACCGACAGAACACGACATTTCAGCTTTGCTGGACGTGAATAAAGCGAGAGGTTTCCCGGGAATGATAGGTTCGATTGATTGCATGAAATGGGAGTGGGCGTTATGCCCTCAAGCACACGCTGGTCAATACAAAGGACGCGATAAGAAACCTACTGTTGTGTTAGACACAATTGCATCAGGGGATCTGTGGATTTGGGATGCTGATTTCGGAGCAGCAGGTTCCAACAACGACATCAACGCTCTTCAAAGATCATCATTTCTACGACGATTGCTTTAGGTGAAATTCCTCGCGTTACGTACAAACTTGGCAAGACAGAGCGCGACCTTCCTTTCTTGTTTGCCGACGGTATCGACCCGAACTGGTCGCTATTTGCCAAAGGTATAGCAGCGCCAACCTCACAAAAAGAGAAAAACTATACGAAACTTCACTCAGCTCTACGGAAAGACGTTGAAAGAGCATTCGGCGTCCTTCAGCGACAGTGGAGGATACTTGCTTTGCCTGCGCGGTTCTGGACTGTTAAAAAGCTTGAAGAAGTAATGCATTGCTGCATTATTTTGCATAACATGATAGTGGAGTCGCGGCACGATTTAATTCATGTCGTGTACTTTTCAGATCCGCCTGAACCAGCGGTATCGCAATCTGATTGTCCTATCACCTCAATTACAGACGTCATTGATGCTTTTAGAAATATTGACTACATATACGAGCGCATCAAGCTTCAGAAAGAGTTGGTAGAACATGCTTGGGAAAATAAAGGCAATGCATTATAAAAAAATACACTGGCTTCATCAAACTCCGGGATCTCAGTTTCAGCAGCAGAAACCTGGTAGGTTTCACTTGTCTCGTCGTCGCTCTGCTTCGAATCCGCGATTTTTTTCATCATTTCGGAGAGTTTCTTTTGACGCAGAATTTTGAAAAACTGAGCGCGTTGATCAGGGTCAGCATCGGGCATGTTGAAGACTTCGATGCTTGCCCACTCGCTCAAAATGTCGTTCTTGCGCTCCATTGATCTTTCGAGCGACCTAGACACAGCGTACTGCATCTCAAGCAGTTTCCCCTCCTTCAGCGATTGGATCGCAGCTTTTGCACCTCGGGGACGCTTGGCATCCCTCGTTTCAGCAGCATTTCCACCGGCAGGTCGCTTCTTGTTCACACTCGCCGTCCACTTCGGTTGGCTCTTAAGTACTTCGTATGCAGCAGCAAAAGAAAACTCCTCTCCTTGACGAGCCTCGTATAACTTCAGAGCGTCTTCAAATCTGTCTTCTTCTGCTTTCCCACTTTCGTTTTGCCCAACAACAACAGCCAAACAACCAACAAGCCGGTTCACCTCTCGATTGATGTCTGACCATCGGTTTTTCAAGGCGATGAGAGAGCGCTTGCTTCCTGGTACTATCGTACGGTATGACTGCAAGATTAGTGTCCAAAGGTTGTCCGCCTTCTGATCGGCCCCTGCGATTGGGTTCTGCGACGTAGCGCACCATGCCGTGCACAGGGCGGCGTCTTCCTTGTCCGACCAAGCTTTACCTCGAGGCATTGTTCGTTTGCAAGTGATCCAACCTTCTATAGATTTCAGCCGCTATGGCGTCCGGAATAGCGGCCGAAACCCCCCGGTAGCTAAAAAATTGGCGATAGAGACGCCTGGTGAAACCCCATTAGCTATCAATTTGAGCTCTTCAGTCGCTATATAGATATTGAGCCTCACCGGTGAAGATGCTCTAAGAAACTAAATAGTAGTCTTGCCCGTTTTGACTAGTTTTCTTAGCGTATATTTTATCTTCAACATGTAAGTCGGGGCCATCTTCGAATTATGAAGTTTTATCTTCGGAGTCCGTGTTACACTGGAGAGCCTCCAAGAAAGGCCGTCACCAGGGCAATTTAGCTGCTTCCTTCTCCAGTTCCATAAAAGTTTTCTCCAGGTTTACAGGTAGACTGGTTTTTTTTATCTTCTTCTGTCGTTTGGCGCTAGCGTGTGCGTGGAGTTGCGTGTTTCGTTTGCTTTTACGTGAATTGCCGGCAAGTCTGGAAATGTAGTTGCTGCTTAGCGGGTGCACTATTTCAGGCAGAGGCTGGGCTTACAATGATTATCTAGAGGACGACACATCACCTTCTTGATATGCGGTGATTATTCTCGACAAAATGACAAAAAAAATAGTTTTCTTGACTGGGCATCTTGTCAGAATAAGTTCTTATACGTGGGTCAATGGAATTATGTAACAATCGATACTTTTGTGTTATTATTTCAGCTAAATTATGGCACTGTATCCAAATTTATCCATATTTATTGAATTGATACGTGGGATAAGACAAGATATATGGTAGAGCATGGGGAATGATGTTACGTAAATCGCTACTACTCTGCCCATACTTAGCTTCTAAGCTCAAAGAGAGCTTAATACGTAGCAAACAGACCGTGTTACATTGTTACGATTCAAAGCATCAATGTAAATCACTCCATAAAGATTTATTTCAAGAATAACAGAGTCCACAAAGAATAAAAGGTGTATATATTGATGTTAGAGCAAATCAAGCAGACTTTTTATTCTTTTTTTTTCTTGGTCACATCCACTTCAGTACGAACGTCCCACATATCGCGGTTAACACAAAGGAACCCCAGCTGCCCGAATTTGGTGGGGTCCATGGAGCGGCGCTATGTTGTCAAGACTAGCTTGCACTGGGAAAATAGCCGTTCAACGATGTTGGAAGCTGCTGGTATCATCTACTCCAGAAGCATATACCGTTTCATGCTTGGCGTCGCGTTGTGCTTCTTTCCTCCGCTTCTTAGAAGCTGCGAAGCTTTGTCTTCTTCTCTCTCGTTGTGCTTCTTACCTGCTAATTGTGATGCCTCGAATCGTTTCATTCCCAAAGTCTCCGCTGAAGACAGTAAAGATCCATTGATGATCTTCACAATTGCTGTCCGAAAACCCGGCTAGTGCACAATTTTGGCTGTGGCCTTCAGGTGTTTTCCCATAACAGGATAGTGAGCTACAAGTGCGTCAAACATTACTCCTACTTTGGCCATGTCCGTTTGTTTTGCTGTACTCGTAGACAGATGCTTTCAAACTTCTTCAAATCTTCGAAGAGGTCAAGAATTTTCCGGTGCTTCGCGCCAGTCGGGATAAGCTCTTCAACAGCTTCCACCTTTTTGATCTTAGTTTAGATTCGGATTTGCCGGTGCACCATTGTAAACATGGACGACCGGCGTGTCACGTTCCGCTTTACAGGAAGAAGTTCTGCGTGATTTTAAACTTAGCGTAGTTGGTTTCGTGGCGTAGCTCGACCAAAAGGTAGCTCACTTCGGAGAGCAACGACTCATGCGGGGCTAGGTACTTGCTAACAGCGAGGTTGTGTCGGTGGCCTGCCCACATATCAAGTGGAACGCCCTACTCGTTCGCAACTGACTGGTTGGTGTTGCAGTTGTCGCCCACCAGGAAGATCATCATATCCTTTTTCTTGTCATAAACGTCGAGGGTGTTTTAAAACAGCTGTACATGTGCGTCTGCTGTCTTCGATCCATCTGTCAGAGGGGACAGACCCAGGAGAGGCACGCAATCTTACCATCTGCTTCGTTAGCAGCGAAAAGCGCGACATGGCGCACCCTAACGTGTGACTGTCCATCAATCATGAGGCCGAAGATCGTTGCCAACTCCTTCTCAAGCTTGTGACCGACTTGAATTGCCAGTCCTCCGAGACACTTCTTCACAGTCTGCACAGTAACAGACCGTTTCTTGCTCACAGCTCTTGTGAGAGCGTCTTCAACTTCGTGTATTGACGTGTTCCTCATGATAACCCAGTGAAGCCACTGGAACAGATAATTCGCTTCTTCAGATACGAAGACGTATGATTGTAGTGAGCGACCCGAACTGCTCTCGAACGAAGTGTTATACCCCGCATGTTTCGCGTCCAGATGCGACTTGAGATTAGAGTACCCTGTCCCTCCAGCTTGTTTCCGCTCGCTGCCGCAAATAGGTAGATTTATATTACAAAAGTAGGTGCAGCAGCACACGGCTAGCGTGTGCTGAACTGCCGTCATCCTATTGGTTGATATATGGGGAGCCGGACCCATTATCAGCCAATAAGGGTTTGACGTGTATTTGAGTGGTCAGGGCAAGCTGCCCTGGACCTAAATAAAAACAGAGTTGATTTTCCTTCAGACTAAGCACATGGGTTCACTATCGCGGAGCTTGCACGCTTCCTCATTATTACGTGTAAGCTAGTAACGGACACTCTAGGCCCGTTACATAAGACATATTCACTCGTGGCCGGTAGCCTCCCATCGCCGGTACCCTAGCCGAAGGACGCTACTTCGTGGTTTAATGCATCCCTGCAGTCATCTTGCTCCGTCGACCGTGTATCGTGCTCTCCTGGTGAGGCTCCAACGAGCGCGCTATCACGCTATCGTTCAATCGCAGTGTGGTAATGCTTTCTAAGGTATTGTGCCCGCGTAGTACATCTGTGTTGCGCGTGTTATCGTGCTCTACAATGGCATCGTGCTCTACGGTGTGCAATCGTGGTCACCCCAAGCCCCCCCCTTGTATATCATGGCTGGCTGGCCCGCCGTCCGTGCTATCCGGTTCTTATGTACTACTGTCCTTCGCGGCTCGGGGAGCTCAGGTTCTACACTGCTATCGTGCTCCGTGGCTCGGTGATTTTCCGTCTATAGCTCCGCGGCTGCGTTCTCCCATGGCTTAGTGATACAGTCCATATAATCGTGTTGTGTTGTGGGTTCGCGGTTGGTCTGTCGTCTGTTTAATCATCATTAGATACCGTAGTTTCGTGCTGTCGGACTCGGTGAGCTCCGGCTTTAGCTCTAATATGGTGTTCCAATGCTCGGTGACCTTCCGTCTATGGTCTACCGCGGCTTCATGTTTGGTCGGTCGACTGTGCTCCGTGCTTTACCGTGATGCTACGGGAGAATTGCTGTCAGTGCACTCTTACGGCTACGTGTGCTACCGTGGCTTCGAGCGTGCGTGCTCTTCCGTAGCCGTGCTTTTTAGCATGCTGGGGTGTCTGTATACTTAGTTCCCTTCTGTGGCCCGTACGCTCCCGTCATATTCTTGTTCTTATGTCCTTTTCATGGCTGTGTGCTCTTCCGTCCTTCACGCTACGCATAAAACTTCGTTGTATCGGCTAAGTCCTCTAGCATCGTCCATGGCCTTCCGTGCTTCGTGTTGCTCCTCTATCCTAGCGCCTACATAGTGTGGGTCGGTGTTCCTTCGCGTTTCGTGTTCTTGCTTAGTCACGTGCCTCCGCGCTAAATTAATCACAAACGTTGTTCCCATTTTTTTATGTACGCAGCACATATTGTTAGAAAGTTCACACAATATCTTAAGATCGCACACTACGCGCGCACATACAAAGGAAGATGATGCTTCTCCCGCAGGCAGTGTGGGGTGCAGGGTTGTGTGGGGTGGGAAGTCATAATACTCATATTTTAAAGTTTTCACATTATTAATAGTAGAAGTAGAATTGTGATTTATTATCTAGCGCTGATATAGTAATAACGTGTACCACTACTTCGAATAACTGCAAGTAAAAAGATGAAATGTCTTAAGAATAGTACTACGCAAAGCAGTATTATAAGAAACATTATAACAAAAGTACTACGAAGCTTTAAACATCATATTACAACCAAAAGTACTAAAGTTCCAGTTTAAGCCGAAATATATGTCACCAGGGCCTTAACCTTTTTTTAGCACCTCGTACGACGATAAAGTACGTGTGTGCTCATCCACGCCTTAAACTAAACCTAACTAACGCGCACACAGGCAGCGCCTTTTGCGTCAAGAGGCGCTCCGCGGCTAGAGCAAAATTAAATTTGAATGGTGCATATAAGTTCGATGTGTAGACCACATCAGATGTATACACCACATAATGCAATTTTGGCCAATAGGGGCCGCCTTCGCTACGCTCGGCAGCCAGTAGAACGCCCGCATTATCGTGAGTTTGATTTACCCTAACCCGTTACGGACGGACGTATGGACAGACACACGCAGACTCCAGCAGGGGTAAGATAGAGTACTTCCTCTGTCCGGAAATATAGGGCCAGGTCGCACTTAAGTACGCTCGGAAATATAAGGCCACCTGATTTACTTTAAATAAATGAGTTAATACGATTACATGTATGAGGTGTGGATGAGTAAAAAAATCGTAACTACGTAAGAAATAATTGTACCTATGGAGAAAGTGGTGAATTCACCTTTGGGCCGCTGATTGACAATAATTGGATGCCTACGACAAAAGGACGGTTACTATGTTTCTTAGCTAACGCTAATTTGATTTTTGGTCTTAGGATTAAACTTTTGATGTGTGGCTTCATTATTCCGAACAGAGGAAGTACTAAATTGCCGGAGGGTACCTTTATCCAGAGGTCGGAAATAAAAATTGCGATTCAATAAATTATTGGATTTTGCAAATAAGTTTTATTGGTAGTTGACATTAACAATACAAATGGTATTGGACCAATTATTGACAATACATATGGCAAAAGGTTCCCATGTAGGACCCGTCT